CTCTCTTACGTTTCATTATATATTACCTATAACCAATAGAAAGTCAAGGTTTTCATCTATCAAATGGTGTATTGTATAATGTTGTGTTCTGAACAGATAACTGTCAATTTCACTCGGAGTAATCAAAATCGTTCCCATGGGAAAGTTAGCGACTAGCTTGGATGAATTTGCAATGGCTTTTGTCGCATAGTTAGAAAGTCTTGAAAATTTTTAGAAGTAAGTGAATTTGTCTACTTCTTTCATGTTATTAGTCTATATTCTTTGGTGTATTATTTAATTAAATAAAAATTGTTAAGTGCTTTACTCTAATGACTAAAAAAATCAAGCATAACTCACCTCGACAATCGAGGGCAAGAAAAAAGAAGATTGGGTAAGTACCTTATTTCTTCTTTTCATATTTATTATTATAAAAGTAACTAAAATTAAAAGTACGGATATTTCTAAATTATTTAAGACTAGAATAGGTAAAATAAGTAATAATAATAATATAATTAAAATTGTTCACATATCACTCATGCGAGCAGCTCGAGGGTGATGTAATTCGATAGCGCAATGTGAGCTGCACGTTCTCCAAGAGATTTACAACTTATAATGGTGCGGATAGCAGTTAGACACGGTTCATAGGGCAATAAAACAATAAAATTTAATTATAAATAGATGTATAATGTTACGAACTTAGAGCTACTTAGGATAAATAAATGTAGTTTCATGTTACAATTTAAGTCATACTAGAAAGAAAAGAAGGTTTAATTTTCGATTTTTTTGGGTGGTTATGAGGTCGGCGAATTGACTGATCCCATTTTGAGATTAGGGTAGAGAAAATAATATAAAAACTATAAGGATTTAGTGAAAAAAACCGTTTGAAATGCATTTAGGAGGTTTTAGGGATTACACAAAAAAAATTTGAGAATTTTGAGATGATAAAAAGTATTTTTAATTTTAAAATAAAAATTACTTTGCACACGGCCTATTCAAAAGAAATACTCAATATATTCATGGACAAAAGTTTATTTTATTTTCTTTTATTAGAAATACTTCACTAAGAAATATGACTTTTTGTATGTGAAAACTTGTAATATTAACTGAAAGACTGCCAAATTCTGTGAAGATATACCCAATACATAGAGAGTACAAAAGGTCACGTGACTCAGTCAAATTGACCGACCCTGTGTTGAAGACTAACAACAGCAAGATCTAGTTCCAGGAGAGTGGTGAAGGAGAGCCACTCTCCTGCTTGCTCCAACTTCCACCATAGCACTCAGGTCAGGTGGCATTGAGCACGGCCAATCTCCTTTAAAACAATAGGAAAATGATCACTGCCCCGTGGATCACTGTCAACCTTCAAAGAAAAATTGAGAGAAAATAAAAGGGAAATAGATAAATAGATCAACAGCAGTAAAAGACTACTAGATGCATGTAAATAGGTAAATGAACCAGTACTGAAGAGAGAAAGATTGTGATCTGAGAACACACTCTCCACAAAATGACCCCTCCCATAAAGACCAGCACCACCCCAAAGTGGATTGTGTCCATTAAAGTTTCCCAAGATGAAAAAGGGAGATAGCAACTGTTCGATGAGAGCATCAAGGTCTGATTGATCGTAAGTCTCTCCTGGAGATAGGTAGAGAAAACAAACAGTGATGCTACGACCCACAGAGATTCGGACAGCTACAACCTCCATGGGTGTGTTGAGTGGCATGAACAAGTTGGGTATGTGCTAGTAAACCAGCAATGCCACACTTCCATGAACTCGTCCAACACACAACCTGTCATTCTGATATAAGAAAAACTGAAGAAACGTGACAGTGGAGGAGAACCGGGCGGAGAATCCATTTTTTTGCGACCATGACGTATATCTTTGGTAGAGAGGTCTATCAACCTCCATGGAACCTGCCCTGGGTTGAATGGACAGATCTTTGTCGGAAGAAGGAGACTCCAGTGACCAAGGTCATGACCAAATAACAGTTCTATACCTTGGGGCCGAAAAAGATGAACCAGAGCAGTCACTGGAAGAAATGATGGGGACAGTGACAGGAGCAGACGTAGGCTTGTCAACTCTTGCAAACATAGAGGACAAAAGACTCTTTACATTATAAGAGAAGGACTCTGTTGGAGGCATGGAAAGATCTGTCTGTACTTCCACTCTGGCAGTGGAATGTAGTGCAGCAGTATATATCTGAGACAGAGTAGGGGACAACAACTTCTGAGCCTCGGGGTAAGTAATGTTAATGACAGTTGTCAAGTGCTGTACCTCTTTTTGCTCCACCCACTTAGGGCAAGAACAAAAGTAAGAGGTGGGAACCACCACAATTGACACAGTGAAGGTCCAGTTGACACTTATAGGCATAATGGTCTTTGTCACCACAACAAGATGCCTTAGAATGTCCAAACCACTGACACTGGAAACATCTGAAAAAATATAAAGTTGTACCTTACAGTTCAGATAACCTGCCTTAACATGGGCAGGCGTACATTGCAATGTAAACGTCAAAGTCAGAACATTGTTAGGTTGCAGAATTCCATCTTTCAAGTGGAAATGGATGCATCGCACAGCTGAAACTTCTTGGTTGGAGAAACCAGCAAGGATCTCCAACTCAAGGATGGTCTTTAAATCCCTCTTAATGATAATTCCTCACGAGGAATTCAAAGTAGCATGCGAAATAACCTCAATAGGCATGTCCCTAATTACCTTTGATTTCAGGAGCTCACTGTGGTGTGCTGTAGATATTTCTACCAAAATATCCCCAGAATGTAATTTCTTGACTGACTTTGAAGAGTCAGCAAGCCCTCTAATCCCTTCTGGATGAAAAATGGAGATATTTGCCCTAACAATTTCTCAGTCAAGTAATGAAGAATAAGAAAACAAGGTACAGGAACTGACTTGGGTGGTGACTGTGTAACAGTCTTCCATATGTGGTTGCTTATATATTTACTGTTTTTTTTATTATTTTATTTTTTCTGGATTTGGGGGTCCATAAAAAAAGAAAATTCTTCAGTGCCCACTGACCCCACCCACTCGGGAGTCCTACGAAGGGACACACTACAAAGCCAAACAAATGACACTGTAGTTACACCAAGGCTTCATGAGCACAATACTCAAACAACAACATCAGACAATGTCCACAACACCTGTTGAGAAAGCCCAACACTGGTAATTGGTTGACCCTGGCCCAACAAGGCCAGCCAATTGACCCTGGAGGAGCTACCCCAAGACCACTCGCCTACAGGAATTCAAGACCAAAGTGGTGTGTTAAAATGCCACTGACACCTCTCAAACACCAGGATCCACCCCTTCACAGATCACCACACACAGCAAACATATGGGTGGATGTTCAGATCCCAGAGAAGGTAAACTGAAATACAGAACTTTCCCTGGGAGGTCCTCTCACCATGTACAAGAATCCACCTCATGGGTGGTTTGTCAGGTAGTATTCAAGTGGTATCAGGTATTTTTTCTCTTTTTCACAGAAACTGTTTGACAATACTTGAATAGTAATCATACATTAAATGTTACTCGCATAGAAAATTTGATCTTTTGATTTGTATAATGCCCATTGCTTTAAGAAAAGTTTTTGTACTAAAACACACACACCCCACAAAAAAATCATACATAGTAGTTTTTTCTGTGTATTGGAGCAGACCATTATGATCAAACACACAGAGTGGTATAATGTGTGGAGACGGCTTGAATGGGTAATGAAGAAAAACTTTAATACAAGTTAAATACATATTAAACTTGTATTAAAGTTTTTCTTCATTACCAATTCAAGCCGTTTCCAAGCATTATTAGTCTCAAAATGGGTTCCTCGTCATCAAATTTGAACACAGAGTGGTATGATTAGTAACTACTGTTTCAATAAAATGTACGGAATACTTAGTGTACTTGACATAAGAGAAGTGTTATAATTTCATAAGTAGGAAACATAAAATATATGCTTACAAAAATAATAATTAGGTTGAAAAAAAGAGTACAGGTGTAATTCTACAATTCCCTTCCTCCTCAGCCCTCATACAAATTAAAATCAGGTTTTCTAATTTACATAAAAGTTCTCTCTCTCTCTCTCTCACATATATTCTAGAACATGTACACTTTGTATATAGAAATGTTTTATTTTGTAATTATATATATATATATATATATATAATTACAAAA